TTTTTAACAGACAGTAGGTCGTAGAACGTTTCATGCTGCATCTTACAGTATATTTTGCTTTTTGATATAACGTATTAGATAATGAAAAAATTAGATAGAAAACTTAGCCACTTATTCTGATCCATCCATTAACTATTTTGAAAAATTTCTATGTATTGTAAATTATTTGTATCTCTGCGACTGTAAGAAGTGAAAAGTTGAAATTTTAATGTAGGGTACTATCCTACAGAAAACCACATATAAGAAAAGAATCTTATTTGAAGGGGATCAGAACTTATGGCACACGTCCTTTATGTTAATTAATTCTTTTTTTTTAAGGTCAATATCTTATCTTCAGTAACATGGTTAAAAGTAAGTTTCATTAATGAGATATTGCGTTCGTTCAAATTTTATTTTTTATCTTAGTTTGTGACGAAACACAGCCAGTATTTGATGACATACCCTATGGTATACAACCGGCAATTACCTCATGTAGGTAGTAACATATTTACCTCTTATCTCTATTTATATCTTCAATAAAAACGTCACTTTTTCTCGGCGAAAAATTATTCTTTCGTAACACGACACTAATAACGTTCTTTGCTAAGGTGAATCTTTTCGAGAAAAATTTGTGCTTCATGATGTGTTATTGTCATTGTTTATCTGCTATTGAGTCACTTTTAATTTCCTTTTCATATTATGTAGTCAAACTGTAACAGTATATTTTGAGGAAAACCGAGGCTAAATATATCATAAAACAAAAAGTGAAAGTACAGACGCAGAATTTCTAAAAAGTAACAATACAATAGAGTGTGGATGGGTGTGGGTGTGAGTTTCGTTGAGCTGAAAATCCATACCCACACTCCACATTCCAACTTTCTTTATCGTAAATTCAAAGACCTTTATGAATCATTAGTTGATTCATATTATCTTCAATCATTAGAACCATGCCTACAAACTCTTTCGATAGCAAATTTTTTTTTCTCACTTACGAAGATGAAATTGATGACTATTTAAAAAATAATATTTCATTCTACAGTTTGTTTTCAATAAATATTTTTACTCATACAGGTGAAATATTGCGATACGCATCATGAGAGTGACCTTCGAACAGAAAAGAAAAAAAGGAAAATCCATTTCTTAAATCCTGAAATTTATTCACTTTTTAAATATACTTATATCTGAAGATATAGGTAGTTCTGTATTCACTTAAACTAAAAATTATGGATTACAGAATTGATTAGAATTATTTGTATTTGATATATTATATTCACTTCAGTTATAAAATAAACTAACGTAACCTTTCAATCGATTTTTTTCATGAATTAACTCAACTAAATTAATTTACAATATGTATTAGAAATGAAAAGTTTTAACCTGAAACAGGAGCATTTTTATCTGAACTATTTATTTTATTTTATTTTCAGCTGAAGTGATGTTCAGTACTTCGGTCCGGCCTTACTTATAAATAAGTGGTCATCAACGTACTTAATTTTTCTTTTGGGATGGATTTTGTTGTATTTTTTACCTATCTTGTTGTGAATATTTTTTAGCGTTTTCATATATATGTTCGAGAGGGGAGACAAAATTGGAATTCTAATTTGACCAGAAGAAATTCGGATTCGAATAGAGATGAATTCGTGAAGTCACATGTTTTAATGAAAGGAGAGCGGAATGAAAAAAAGAAAGAGAAAATTCTAGTGATCGCAGTTGTATCAATAAGCAGTATAAATATAGATGAACGTGTTACAATTTAATAAAAAAAAGATGTCTGAATCGGATTCAACGATCAATCACACATGTGATTGTAAAGAGAAGTGCGCTACAAAAACACGTTCATGTATAGAATTAGAATTAATTGCTCAAATGGCAAAACCTCGAAAAACAAGATCTAGAAATAGAAATCTCGAAAGTGTAAAATGTAACAGCAATTCGAGTACTTGATAGATACATGGTTCATTAATCATACGTGTATTGAATAATAAAAAAGCATAGAAATAAAAGAGAATATAAACACAAAATTACCTATGATGCGATGTTTTATCGAATGTTGCTGTAGGGATGGAGATGTGAGGTGAGGATGTGTACAGGCAATAGCAACACTTACACTCACACTAAAAAGAAAGGCTCATCAGTCACTCAGTGTTATTTTTCAAACTTTCGAGATTTTCTATATTCGACATTTACTGTTCGAGATTTGTGTTTCTGGCAATTAGCACTCCTCTATTTTATTTACTTTGAGTGTATGAACTTATCTCTAATTGAATTCTGCTCTTGTTCGAGCAAAATTGAAGTTTTCAATTTTGTTCGAGCCAGTTCGGAACCAAACCAAATTCAAATTTTATCTCAAACATATATATGTTTTATTCAGTGTTTTTCTTTTTCCTACTTAAATCTTTCTAGTTTTTTTGCAATTTACATTACCTTCTTTTTTTTGTCTTCCATGTAGTTGTTCCAAAGTCATAACGTTCAATTCAATTATAATAAATTTTTATTTCATCATAATTTTGTCAAATAAATTGAAAAAAGATGAAGAAAAATATTTTTTTTTATGTAAGTATTCGAAAAATATCAAATGAGTTATATTTGTGCGTATTCTCACAGAAACGAAGTTGTATATGAGTCATAGAAATGAAGGTGCATATGGGGCATTGAATTGAAGTATTTGTCGCCGAATATAAAATCATCGAACCATAACATCATTTTTGTACGAAGGAAGTAACTTTCTCTCAACTATATGAATCATGAGGGGAAACAGTATCGTCATGTTTCAAAAGACGCTATTAATTTAGAATAAGTATCGTTTTTGATAGACATCATTCAGTCAGTCAGTGAGCAGATTCGAGTATCTAATCTTAATTAGAATCTATCTTTGTGTTGATTAATATGAGGTGTCCTCACCTGTACATTTTTATTTGAAAAGAAAAGGAAATATTTAAATGTACATGGTAATCAAAAAAACTTTCTGAGTTCGTAGATAATTTTACAAAAAAATTGATGTAAAAATAAGGGAACTCGTCATAAGTCGTGCCAATTGAACCTTTGTAATATCATAGGTATCATATTTTTCTTCATGTCACAGATTAAATAAGATTCTAATGATGTTCATTATCCTAGAAAAATTCTTTTGAAAGATTAATATGAAATATATTGAAATAGCTCTGGTATATTTTAGAAATGAATCAGTATTTCATCTCATTTTCATTTGAACCAGAAGATTCATCTATTAATTACCATTAACAACGTTGATCATTCACATAAATTTATTTCATTGCTTTTACGAAGAGCAGCCCAAAAGTAATGGCGGAGATACTTTAATTTTTTTATCATAGTTCAACTAATGTCATAATAATATACTTTCGATAAAACTTGTTTTATTATGACATGTGCCTGGTAGTACTAGTGCCTATTCAGTGAATATTTTGTTGGATAAATTTTGATAGGAACAAGATAGAGAACTGTAGTTTTCATCGTGGGTGTGGGTATGGGTGAGGAAGGGTGGGTGTGGGTGTTGATCTTGCTTATACTCTTGATCCATACCCTAAATGTATTCTTAAGTGGAAAATTTCCAAATCATCTGTTATGAAATTTATAAACTTAACATAAAATTCCTAATTACAAGCTACTCAGATCATTATATAGATATCAATGTTTCATACTAACTTTCCAGTACTATAATCTATTACAATCCAGTTTATATTGTTCTCTATTGTTAACATAAATATGTCTGGTGATGATTATTCTGTAATTGTAAGTGTCTGAAACATTACAGAAACATGGTATACATGAAACACAAACTTTTCATTTCTACCAACTTTTTTTTTCGTATTCCATTTAGTGATACTAGTTTTGACATTTAGTCCTATAAATAAAGTCACCGTATTGTGACTAACTTGTGAATGGTAGAAGATTGTGAATTGAATGAACTTTCAGGATGAAGATATATGACAGAAAAGTAATATCACTGAACGCACTTTTGAAGAGAAAGATATCGCTTTTGCTGATGTAATCAAATAATATCGATGGAAAATAATTACCAAAGTATCAAAAAGTTTTGATATTGGTAAGATTTCTGTGCGATATTAGCTATTTATGTGAAGTATCATTATCGGATGGGTCTGTCCTTTGATAGTAAACTTCTATCAATTAGAAAAGGAAATCAATGTGAAACTTCGCTTGTCGATAGATGATCGGTAAAAACTAATGAATGCTGAGAATGACTCAGCTTGTTTTAGAGAGTTTACAGTCGGGTTTCCTAGTGCTGAGATAATATGAAATCGTTTGATTTCTAGAAATTTTAGATTCAGAATACTTATTTATTGTTTTGAATTTCATTTGTTTTTTTTTTGTGAACTGAATTTCAATTGACAATCCATGCACATAGTTTCTGAAAATGAATAGATGTGACAAATTTGAAAGCATCAAATTTAACTGGCGTTGATAATTTCTATGGATTATTATGGGTGTGGGTGTGGGTGTGAGGGTGTGGGTGTGGGTGTGAGGGTGTGGGTGTGGGTAGGTGTGGGGTGTGGGTGTGTGTGGGGTATGGGTGTGTGGGTGGGTGTGGGTGTAGGTGGGTGTGGGTGTGAGGGTGTGGGTGTGGGTAGGTGTGGGGTGTGGGTGTGTGGGTGAGTGTGGGGTATGGGTGTGTGGGTGGGTGTGGGTGTAGGTGGGTGTGGTTGAAGAGAAGACTGACACCCACACCCACACCCACACCCTGGTAACAAATGCTTATCTCAAAGTATACCTGATAATTCATATTTACCACAAGAGACATTTTCTACTAAAACAGTTAATAATATATCAACAGAAAAACCAAGTTATGGTAGATCAAATTTAGCTTAATATATTCATCTAGATTTAAAAGGTGCACCACCAAAACCAGATAAATTTTATGAATCGTTTTTTAATTTTCTTAAAAGTTTACAAATGGGTGTAAAAGGTGTATTAATTGAATATGGAGATATACTTCCATTAGAAGAAATTTTTGCTGATGTAAGTATAAATAAATAATTAAACTATGGACAATAAAGACCATGTGTTTTCTTTTAAAAGGTTGGTCATCAAGCTGGTTACACAAAATCTGATATAAAATTAATAAAAAAAGCTGCAAAAGAAAATGAAATTGAAATAATTCCACTTATTCAAACATTTGGTCATTTAGAATGGATTCTTAAATTAGATAAATTCAAATCATATCGTGATCATCCTAATTTACCATTAGTTATTTCACCATGTCTTAATGCTACTTATGTTTTACTTCAAGGTTATTTAGAAATTTTCTATTGAAAAATTTTCGAAGAAAAGTTTTGAATTATTTAGATCTTTTACAACAAACACTTGACATGCATCCTAATAGTAATAAAATTCATATTGGTTGTGATGAAGTTATGTTAAACAATGTTCATGATGAATGTTATATAAAACAAATGAATAAATCTGAAAGATATATTGAGTAAGTAAGGAAAAAAATTAATGAACGAAATGTATCGAATGTTTTGAAGTCATATTCAATGTATTGTTAATATTGTTCATCAAATTCGACCTGGAATTCGTGTACTTATTTGGGATGACATTCTTCGACATGATGAATTTACTAAAAATGACAAATTGGTAAGATTCTAATAAGAATGATTGTTTTGTGGTTACAGAATTTTTTTTCGATGAGATATCGAGATAAATATTTGACGAGATGAAGGTACACCGCACAATGGAGAATACATCCTATACCGTAATGTTGAACATTGCGGAATCAGTTCCGCCCCCGAAATCAATTCCATGCATTTCCGGGAATCCGAACATCATTCAACAAACTGGATTTATTCGACAAGGAACGCGCTCTCTCAATTCCTGGAACTTCCGGAATTGAGGGAACGCAATCCTTGTCGAATAAGTCCAATTGGTTGACTGATGTTCGAGTTCCCGAAATTGGTTTCGTAATGTTGAACATTGCGGAATAGGATGACTGCTCTCTTACCCTAAAATATGATCTTCAGAAATCAAACCAAAGGCTGCAAACGCTCATCGCAAAAAATGTGTTCATAAATCAGTAATTATACGAAACATCATTTCTACCGCCAACTTATTGAATCATTTTAAAACGAAAAGCTATCTGAAACGAATAATTGACTCATAAACTTCATTGTGTGAAAAAATTGTTACGATAGAGGTAGAAATGGAGTAGCAAAACACCGATTACTGAGCCGAAAATAGGCCAAAACATCGGTCATACCGTATTTTCCAAACATTCAACACAATTTAAGTACGATTTAGCTCAAACTTACACTAATTATTCTTCTATATGCGTTTTATCATTGGCCGTAGCGCCGAGTCGTGACAGTGAGCAGAAACAGCGCTAGCAATTTTCCAAAAAACTAGGTTTCTTTCCCGAAATCGTTATTTTTACGAACACAGAAACACTTTAAAGCAAATCTAAGGTGATATTCGGATACAGTGCGCCGAGCTGCATCGAACCATGTACAACAGTAAGTGTTTTTCAAAAAAAAAGTTGGTTCCTCTATTCGACAAGGTTCTGAAAAGCAGTCTTTCTGGGTTTTTTAAACGCTCAAATCAACTCACGTCTGATTGATCTCAAATTTTCGCTGATTATCCCTCCACATCTGATCGATCGTTGATCATAGCGCCACTTCGTATCGACAAGTAGAGCTGGTGCTACGGGTCTCCCAAAAACCGAGATTGTTGCTCTCAAATCTCTATTTTTATAAAGAAGGCATTATTTTAGCGCAAAATCAAGGTGATATTCAGAATCAGCTCATCGAGCTGCATCGAACCATATACAATAAAGAGTGTTTTTTAAAAGAATAATTTGGCCTATGTGCATGAAAACTTGAAAAAAATGAGGCATACTGTAGTTTTCGAAAGGTATAAATAGTTCTCATCCGACTGAGTTCAGTTCTTTATTAATTGTGTTCATCCCTGTTATCCGTGAGTATGGATTAGGCTAGGTTTCCCTCAAAACTGTGGTTTTTAATCCCAAGTCCCTTTTTCCTGTCCTTAAAATAATATCTCAACAACAAAGTAAGGCAATATTCGTAATCAGCGAGTAAAACTGAGTTGAATGGTGTGTCGCACACTACATTTTCTAACAAAAGAATTTTTTTTGAAAAACTTGGCTGGGATTTCCACAGGTGATTTTTACGGAATTTTTTTTCCAAAAAAAATTGGTTTATTTTGTTACAGACGATTTTCCAAGTAGTATATAGTTACTTCTGAACAATAAAAGCTCGGTTTAAAACATGAAACTCACATGTCTGCCTACTATACGAAAGTTTTCCACTGTGTACCGGTCGATTTCGACAAGAAATCTCTAAAAATCGATGAAACTTAGATCTAGTATTATGAACCGAAATGTCTTCGAATTGTGACTGGTTGTTTAAGAATATTAATTTATTTTTAGCTTAGTCAACTAAAAGGTCTTGTTGAACCTGTTTCATGGAATTATGTTCCAACATTTCATGATTACTACAAAACTTTATCTGCTTGGAAGATTTATCCAAAATTCTTTAATAATATTTGGGCTGCAAGTGCATTTAAAGGTGGTGTTGATCGTTTTTAATGATAACAAATACAACACATCATGTATTAAATAATCGTCAATGGCTTCATTTTATGCAATCACCAATTTTTGAAGAAAAATATTTTTCAGCTATCATACTTACCGGTTGATCAAGATTTGATCATTTTATGCCATTATGTGATATATTACCAACAGCTTATCTATCACTTCTTTATAGTTTACATATTTTAAATACGGATGAATTTCTTGCTGATAATCCATTTTATGATTGTGAGACTTTAATGAAATCAATTGGTAAATATTCACAATTATATAAATTATTGCCAGGTAATATTATAAGAAGACAAAAAAAAATCAATTATTTTTATATTTTATATTAAGGTATTTCTATTTATTCAAGTATATCATCTTTGTTCACAGTTGTTTCGAAAATTCAAAATCTTTTAAAACTTTTATATGATACATCACCCGAATATAATCGAAAATATTCATTTGTACGTCGTTATGAACTTGATTCACAATTAACTGAATTAAAAGGTTTTCAAAATGATTTATTATCAAGTAAAGAACGATTAAATCATGATCTATCGAATCTTTATTCAAAAGATATTATTGATGAATGGTTTGATCTTTATGTAATACCAATAGAAAATCAAATGTGTAAGGCATATATTGACTTTTCACCTGTATTTAATATAACATCATGGGTACGACGACCACTTATCTAGTGAGAAACTATATTGGTTTTTCAAATAGTTAATGGAGTTTTTACTACAGTTTTAATTTCAATTTTTTAGTTTTTAAAAAATAATAAATGATGCTATTGAAATTTTGAAATATTCAGAATATTATTTGTATCAATATAATCAAGTGATATTTATCATAACTGATAATTATCAAGATAGAAATTTATAGTAAATTACTAAAGATTAAAGTCAATTTGTTTGAAATAGAGAAAATCGGAAGTATCTCATTCCATTTACTTTATTTATTTTTTAAAGAATTGTCATGAAATTGGATAAAGATTTTATTTAAATGATCGTAATTTATTTACAGAGTACAATATTTTTGTTTTTTTTTGGTAAAGTATCATAAAATTATTATATAGTCGATTTATCATGAAAAATATCTGTATGATTTGTCAAAAATGAAACTCCTTTGAAGATGAATTTATATGAGAAGATTCAAGTATCCATATGACACGTTTCGATCCTTGCTTAAGGGAGATCATCATCAGGCATGGTTCGAAACTTATACTACATTATATAAATAGTGCAAAGCGTTAGGTTTATGATCTTCATATGTGAAAGATAAAGGAATCAGTGTTTAGATGAGACATATCATCAAATTGACGAAATGGAAGATTTAAAACAATTCAAGATACACTACGATCAATCGATTCAATTCTATCAATTATTGATATCGAAAAAATTTCCTCTTCGGGATTACAAAAAAAAAAAATGATATATCTACTCTGCTGCACTGATCATACTCAATATAGATGACTTTTGAGCCTTTGAATAACATGTCTTCTTTGAAAAACGAACTTTTCAAAAGAATCAGATCAAAAAGAATAGTCACCTTTGTTTAACAACTCAGTGCACGATGAATACTTTTTCTTCTAAAATCAAATATATTCATTAGCAGATCGAATACATTTCTTTTGAATATATCTATTGAAAAACAATCCTTCACAGAAGAAAAAAAAGAAAATCATGCATATTTGATGATTCTTTTTCTTTCCCTTCAACAATAAACAAAGCAAATAATGTTTGAGACACACGTTTTTTCTTACATATCCAATCAGAAAGGGAGAAAAAGACGTGACATATAAAAGTAACATTGAATGCAAACAATATTTTGACAATACGTGAAATATTTCATTTGGTAAATACATCAAGAATATACACGGTTGGAAATAATATTATTTCAGGGAGGTAACGCTATAATTTCAAATAGAGGACATAATGAATTTTATATCAAATGAAAGCTCGTCAAAAATGGAGTTTATTGATACTAAATAGTGAGGATTATAAAAACTTTTTAATGTCAAACTTAAGAAATTTTATACTTTTTTGGGTTGGAAAATTAAGGTGCTAGTAATTGAAAAATGCAGTAAAATTTTTTTTTCTTGGATATTTTTACATGGTTTGATAGAGATCGTCGAGTTCTACAAAACTGTATATGTTAAAAAATTTTTAAGCCATCTTTTTGAGATAAAAAGTTCAAAAAACTACTCGAGAAACCTCAAACAACGTTTAAAAACTCTTTTTTTCAATAAAGGTAGCCTTTTCCATTATTTTTACTAGCTCAGACGTCTCGAAATATATTCATTAGACGCAGTTTTTCACGCTACATCGATCGAGCGTGTTTCTTCAATTTGAAAAAAAAAGTTTTTAAACGGTTTTTGAACTTTTTATCGAAAAAAGATGGCTTAAAAAAAGTTTTTAACATATACAATTTTCGGTGAATAAACAGTTAATATGTAGACTACGACACATAAATGCGACACAGCTTATTTCAGTGTGCGTGAGTCATCGAATTCGTCATTCCTTCCTTCTAGATAACGAAAAAAAATATCGATCGTCGCTGCAATTTTGAAAAAAGGTGCATACACTGTTTACTCACTCTGTATTTCATGTGCATATAGTTGAATTATCACAACATTTCTAATAACTGATTTCTTACTCTCGTACATGTGTTTATCGGTATGCACATTTCGTTCGGTACTTTATCCATTTATTTGAGTAAACCGAGGATAATTTACCGACGAGTCTGTCATTTCTGTATTATCCTATCGATAACATTGGTTATTTATCTTTTGACTAATTTCCATCCCTCCATCGATGAACATTTATTCGAAAGTTTCTTGATTGATGATAATTGGGAGTTTTCTTTTGATGAACGAACTTGGATTGTTGTAACATTGCCTCATACGCCTCGACTCGAACCTATCGAAAAAATTGAACAATAATGGCAAGGTACATGTTACTATCGAAAACAATTATTGATAGATGACAACAATTCTCATGTGACACTACAATTCGATGCAGCCATACACGAAGCAGATGTATGGGTGAATGATTTACATATCGGTCATCATGTCGGTGGTTATTTACCGTTCGATGTCAACATTTCAAAGAGGGGCAAGATTATTGTAACAGTTCGACTACACAATACGGATAATTCTGATATTCCACCAGGTCAACAACTATCTAAACTAGATTTTAATTATTACGGTGGTCTCTATCGTCATGTATGGATTCGAAAAAATTCAGATCGCTTTCGTTTTGATCAATATGTTCGTGTTCAGTATGAAAATATCAGTCGATCTCAGACAATTTTTCGCATACGATTTAATGTTATAAATGCTCGGAGTGAACTTGAACACTATCGAATTCAATACCATTTGAATGACAATGAAATATTTCCTTTTGATATTATACGATCTGGTGATCAATCCTCTTCCTACGATGTAAAAATGACTATTTCCAATCCTCGTCTTTGGTTTCCATCAACACCAAATCTCTATAAATTCTCTCTAACACTTCTATCGCAAAAAGGTATGAAAAAAATCATTTACGATCAAAAAATATTGAACATAGGTATTCGTTCATTTGAGTTTCGATCGAATAGTTCATATTTATATTTAAATGGGGAAAAAGGGTGGGTGTGGGTGTGGGTGTGGGGTGTGGGGTGTGGGTGGGTGTGGGTGTGGGTGTGAGTGGGTGGATGTGGATGTGGGTGGGTGGGTGTGGGTGTGGGTGGGTGTGGGTGTGGGTGTGGGTGTGGGTGGGTGTGGGTGGGTGTGGGTGTGGGTTGTGGGTGAAATAAATGCTCACACCTACACCTACACCCACATCCATTCATACCCACACCTAACTATCATTTTGAAATGAGAAAAGGTTTATCGAGACCATGAGAATCGATGGGTACACATCTGAAATCCGTTTTTTTCAAAAGTTCAATGTTGTTCGCAGAGTAGAAAAAATGCTGAATATGACTATTAACGATTGAGAGTTTCTTTATATGGTCATACATGGGTTAGTCTGAAAGAGACCATTGATATTTCAGATGCTCTATGCAATTGTTAGTTCAGATTCATTATGTCTTACCTTGTCAACTGATTCAAGATAGGTGGACGCGATTGAAATTGATTGTAATTTACTCTACGGAGGTCTAAGATTTAGAAAAAAAGTAGATGTCGTATAGAATCATGTTCCAATATTTTTCGGGCTTGGCCACCTTTTCTATTCGAGCTTTGCTCGAATGACAATCTAGTTCTTTACCTATTCTTTTTTCTGCTATTTATTTGAATATTAAGAGAGAAATGAAAAAATCAAAGTTTATGACATGTTTTGATAGAGGGATTAAAAAATAAATCGGGACAACGTCAATTGTTACGGGAGCTGGGACAAACAGAAGATGTACAATCACAGACCGTATATCAATAATGTCTCGTTATAATATATGAACCACTTTTTTTATTGCATTTTTCGATGATTAAGTAAAAGAACCGATGAAGAACTGTGTGTCCTAAAATTGAGGGAATAAAACAATCTCCTTGTGATTAGCAACACCAGCTACATCACGTTTAACATGTTAATCCCATAGAAATTGCGCTAACAGCTTTTTTATTTGAATGTTTTAATTGCAATAGTTTCATTGAATCTCCTTCATTCGATGAGTTGTAAGATGAATTATATCGGTTTTTTTTGAGAAACAAGAAAATATCATTAATTCTAAATGATGAAAGGCTAGACAAAAGAGTTATATTTGAGGAACTTTTCCTCCATTTTACAATTGAGCTGTCTTACACTCATTTTCAATTATATCTATCAGTTGAAACGAACAACGAATAGTCACAATAGCATATGTATGAAAAAGACAAACCAATAAGTACTGATTTTTTCATTAAGCAAAAATATAAGTATCAACAATCCTATTGAAATTCGTTTTACTCGATAAAAGAATGCTTGTTTTCTAAAAAACAAAAGAAAAATATTCTTAACGGTAATAGTTAGTATGAACCGGAAAAAATTTTCTATCAAAAGTATTTTTCCAGTCGTCATAGAAATTTTTGGGGAGAAGGTCAACATTTCGAAACAGCACTTTTTTTAATTCGATCAGAAACGTTTTGTAAATAAACTCATCTAATAACGCAAACCTCTCTTTAGCTCTCGACAACTTTTCTTCATCAAACTGCATTCAATTGACGCAAGACATCAGAGCAATATTTCTATTATTTTTTCAAAGATTTGCTGTGTTTTACAGTTCGAAGTCTTCCGTAGATTAAATGTAGTAGACAATGTTTTTCTCACAAAAATTTTAATAGGAATCGAAAAGATAATTTTACTGATATGAAAGCTACTGAAATCTTGTATTTTTCGGATTTTTTCTAGCTATCATCATTAAGTATATATCTCAAAAATACAAATATACTAAACTTCTTGTTTCTATTTCAAATATGTATATTGTGTTAGCCGCTTGTACCCAAAGATACGAGATGAAATATGATAGAAAAACCATTATGCGATGTTTATACTAAATTCTATAAAAAAAAAAAAATTGTAATGAAAAACTCGATTTTAACTGTAGAAGTCATTCATTCGAATATTTCATTATATGATGAATAGTGACTCATGGTCAGATAGTAAAATATTATTATAAAGTTTCTTTCATATTTATTATGCATCGGATTCTAAGATTTTCTCATTAAAATCGATCTTTATATAACAACTATAAATAGAGTAAATCTAGATGTATATGCCCATTTATTGACAAAAGCTTTGTATTTATTGAAAAAAATAGAACTTGGCTACTCAAAAAATCAAATCAAAATTCTTGTTTAAATCATTATCATATGGTTTCTTTTGTTATAAATGCAACAAAATAATTAATGTTTGGATGAAAGAACTTGTTTTCGCGCTTGTTCAATAATTCGAGCTATTTGCAACGAATTTTCAAGTGTCATGAAAGGATGTTCACTTTTTCCATTCATGATTTGTTCACGACATACAATTGCTTCATAACGAAAACCAGCTGAATTTATCCACTTTGGTTTTTTTATTGTTTCAGGTAAATGATGTTCAACATGATGACCATTTGGTAATACAATTCGAGTTGGAGTCCAAAAATCAGTCGGAAGACTAACAACACCTTCAATCAAACAAGAGATAGATAAATTTTACAATTGTAAATTAAGACAAAATTTTATTTTTATCCTCTGCTTCATGAATTGTTAATGAATGAATTGCTCCGATATCTTGACCGAGATAATTAAGAACAGCCATACGATTATTTTTAAATAATAATGTTATACTAGCCATTGTATCAGTTATTTCATCTTCAAATTCTCTTGTATGACCTGTAGCTGTAACTAATTCTGGTTCTTCATGATTAAAAGCAAGTAAAGCTGCTTGCACTGGATAACAACCAATACCCATTAATGTACTTCACCAGCCATTAGAAACTAGATCACTAACACAAAATGTACATTCAACAAAAGTAACCTAAAATGGAAGATTAAATTCAGTTATTAAAGAATTTTTTGAAAATTTACTGTTCCAATTTCTTTAATACCCAGGTCGAAGAATCCGACAATAAGATCTTGTGCGATATTGCAATACCTTACAAGATCTTACTGTGAAATCTTATATGATCATATAAGATCGTATGAAAGTCATATACGATCTTGTATGATTTTTATAAGATAGTCGTAAAGCCTGCACATCTGATCATATCGTACTGTACGATTCTTATATGATCTTATTGTATGATCTCATAAGATCTTGCATTATTCATACATGCTTCTATACAACTATAGGATGCATCGCATGATTGATATTCTTGCACTTTTCATCACCTCTACCTGATTTTTCAACAGGCTGAGTTACCTTCTTCAAACTCTTTGTTTCAAGAGAAAACATTTATCGCTAAATTTTTATCATTTTACTTCGTCTCAGACTAAATTTATTTTTAAATAAAAAAAATATTTATCATTTCTACATGAAAACATGCAATGAGTAATGCGTAATTTTATCAAAAACAGATCACAGTTCGGTTTGATGTTAACTTTAAGCTCGTTCTCGAATAATCGACCACTAGTATATAGAGTAGAGTTCGATATTGAAATGGACTTAATTAATTACAAAGTTGTAGTTTGGAAAACAGTTTTAACCAAATTATATTGGATAAGATTTCCTTGATTTTATTTTAATCATAAATGAATAATTTTATTATATTTATTTTGTGTTAGTTGAAATGATCAGATAAAATAATTTAATTTAATTGTAGAAAAAATCCAGTATGTTAATTTTATTTCAATTGAAATAAAATAAAATGATAAAATTAGGTTAATTTAGTTCCATATAATGTAAATTCTAAATAATGTTATCAAATTGAATATTAATTTTGTATTAAAAAAAATATAAATGCAATAATTCCATTAGTTTAACTTTATTTCAAGTAAGATTAATCTCTTCACTTTGAATTTAGTTTATTTTCCCAGACTATTAAATAAATAATCTTATGAAAATGAACCTATTTTGTCGTAAAACAAGTATAGTTGCATTAAATTGCTTTCATTTTATTGTGACTGTAAGTAGATAATCTTCTTAGATTAATTATAACTTAACTGAAATAAGTTAAGCATATACATCAAATGAAACTAACTCCTTTCACATTGATTGAAAGTAAAATAAAATAATATTTTTCATCATTAGTTTGAGTCAAAATAAACCAGAAATATCGAAATTCAGTCGATGAAACCAAAAAGACTAAATAAGATCGATACGAATTTCAAATATCTAAAACAAAACTGGATAATTTTGAAGAATTATAAATTAATATAAAAAGCCTAGTTGTATTTTTGAAAAAATATATGACGTGCAATTTCTTCCACCATACCAGAATATAAGACGAATGTAACGGTTTCTCGCTCATATATATAGTCTATATTAGCCATTGTCAGCTTACGTGTCCTCTACACTAGAGAATTATTATTAATTACAGTTTTACAAACAAATACAAAAAATGTTTTTTTCAATAAGAATAAACGATAAAATGAATTTAACAAGATAAAAGTCAAAACAATAATAAACTTAATCAAGTCAAATCAGATTGATTAGTAGTGTGCTGTTTTTATAATAAGCATCGCTGTATACAAAACGTGTATTTGCAATTTAAAAAGAAATTATATTTCTATTAGGAAGCATTCCATCACTTAAACACGTATAGTAATCTACATCTATAAACCTATCGTTATAAAAACTAGCTTGCATGAGAAATATCTTAAAATTATGGTCTGACAAGATCCTACAATATCTAACAAGACTCCCATCCTCAGATCTTGCAAGAATCTTATATCAAGAATCATATCAGATTGACGCCAGCATCTTATAATAAGAATCATATTAAATCTTAGAACAAGAAATTTGCAAGATTTCGTAAGATCATACAATCTGAATCTTACAAAATCTAATTGTCAGTAAGATCGTATAAGATCTTATATGATCCTCGTACGATTTTTGCACCTGGGTAGCATCACGTAAATAATTATAGATAGGAAAAGATCGTGACCACATTGCTTCCATCATATATTTCTTTGTTTTTCTTGCTACATCAATTATTTATTGAACTTCATCTGCATTCATTGCTAGTGGTTTTTCACATAAAACATGTTTATTATGATTTAAGGCTTTAATACATAAATCTCGACGAAAATGTTCCATTGTTCCAATATAAGCAATATCAACATTTGGATCTTGAAATAATTCTTCTTGTGAACCATATGTACAAACTTGATTTCCAAGATCCAATTCTTTAACAATATTGTCAGCTCCTGTTGTATCTCGAGAACTAATAGCAATAATAACATGTTCATGAGAATCACAAGTCAATAATGCAAGACAAAAATCGTAACAAATACGACCTGCTCCAACAATACCCCATTTGAGTTGCATATTTATTAAAAACAAAAATAAATATAAAACAACTAATGATACGCGGTTAGAGCAGAAAATTATATGAACAACAATCAATCAACAGCAAAACATGCACTATGCATTTTTGACATAGGTCCTATATCACTCCTATATGATTTAATAGAAAAAATCATTGTCTATTGAACTGTGTTCTCAGTTTCTTTTGAAAAAATATCACCGGACTAAAAATATTTTCTTGACTGCTCAACTAAGCAACTCTATCGTGAACATCTTGTTCAAATAGAGTTAAATAGTGAAATTTACAATAGGGTGCGATAAAAGAGCACCATCAAAATGTGGGTACTACTGCACCTTATGTACACCCCCATTGTTAATGTGCACAGAACGGAAAAAAAATTCTATTGGTGAAATGATTAAATACAACGTAATAGAAAACATCGTTGACAACACCGATCAGAAATAGAATGATAGGAGTGATGATCAAACAGCTTGAATAAATATTTATCTTCAATTGAATGCTAAAGATCAACGCAAAAATAGATGATGATGCCCTTAATCCTATCACTCTGCATTTGCGCATTATGAATAATAGGAAGAAAACATGGACTTTAATCCCTGACAAAGGCTTAGTGTTCGATCGAATGTCGTATAGTTATATCATTCAAACAGATTATCGGCATGACGGAGCAACTACGGCAAAAATTGAAGATTTTGCTGAACGCATTTGCTGAACAGAGAAATGATCTTGAGATATATGTGGACAAGATCATTGAACTGTTTCAAGAAAATGATCAAATATGCCAAGCAATCAATGAACAAGGTCGTCGACGAAGTGGGAGCATTTTTGATGGTATTCTTAGCTGTTCGTCTACGAATTCTGTCCACAGTGGTCGTTCGGGCACTTGCAATGAACAAGGTCGTCGACGAAGTGACGGCATTTTTGAGGGTACTCTTAGCTGTTCGCCTACGAATTCTGGCCAACGGCGTCGTTCGAGCACTTACAATGAACAAGATCTATTGAACAATACTAATACTATGCTCTACGCCAATCATGATATTGACTGATAGTCTTTCACGGAAGTTTTCTTAAAAATTCTTTTTTCAATCTTGGTGTTTCAAAAAATTACATGATGATTGTTCCATAAATCATACCACTTTCTCTTTTCTCTTATTCTTCTGTTCATATTCTTTGTGGTGACAACAATGCTACTCATTTTACCTGTTGTTATAATGATATTTTTTTATTCTCGAATCAAATTATGCATCTATAGCGAGCTAAACGTAGAGTGAATTGCGATATTGAACGGGGCGATGATAGTTCTTAACACAATCACATTTCTTTTTCGTTCACTTTTCTCAATAAATCAGATTCTTGTGAAACATAGTTGAAGAGTGTTAAAACAAAGCGTACGCAACTTAATCTGGAACTTTCGACTCGTGCAGACTTCGACAGATGTGATCAAGGGGGAACAAACTGATTTCTGATTTCTGTGATTTCCAGTGATTTCCAGTGATTTCTGGTGATTTCTAGTGATTTCTAGTGATTTCTAGTGATTTCTGGTGATTTCTAGTGATTTCTAGTGATTTCTGGTGATTTCT